TATATATATATATATATATATATATATATATATATATATAATATATATTATATATATATATTATATATTATAACTATTATTATATATATTATTATTATATATTATATATTATATATTATATATATTATATATTATATATTATATATTATATTATATATTATATATTATATATTATATATTATATATTATATATTATATATACAGCTGAGGTGTATATACACCCCAACACAAAAAGAGAAACGACAAAACTAAAGAGGCAAATTAAAAAAAATTTAAAAGCCAAACAAAGCCCGGCCACTGCCTCTTTCTTTGCTACTACTGCAGCAGCAGCAGCAGCAGCTGCTGCTGCTGCTGCTGCTGCTGCTGCAGCTGCTGCTGCAGCTGCAATCGCTTATGCTGCTTCTGTTGCTGCTGCAGCTGCTGCTGCCGCTGCTGCTGCAGCCGCTTATGCTGCTTCTGTTGCTGCTGCAGCTGCTGCTGCAGCTGCTGCCGCTGCTGCTGCAGCTGTGCTGCGGCTGCCGTTGCTGCTGCTGCTGCTGCTGCTGCTGCTGCTGCTGCTGCGGGGCTGTAAGGTCCCCTCTCCCTCTGTCGGCCCGGGAGACCGACGCCGCCAAGACAATAGTTTATATTTATATTTCTTTTTTTGCATTTATATATATTTTTTTTCAAGCTGCTGCTGCTGCTGCTGCTGCAGCTGCTGCTGCTGCTGCTGCTGCAGCAGCAACTAACGGCGTGAGGAGCAGACACGCCGCTGCTTCTTGTCTTGCTGCTTCTCTACTTTTGTTTTGCTGCTGTCCATTGAGCTGTTTGCTGCAGCAGCAGATTCCTTTCGCTTGCGCGATGCTGCTGCTGCTGCTGCTGCTGCTGCTGCTGCTGCTGATGGTTCCTTGCTGCTGCTCCTGCTGCTGCTGCTGCCAGCTGCAGCCTTCTGCTGTTCTGCCTTTACAGACGGTGTCTTTACTCTGTTTGCTTCGTGTGCTGCTGCTGCTGCAGCAGCAGCAGCAGCAGCAGCAACATTTCTCCTTTTTTGTCTGTCTTCTCTTTGTTTTTGGTTGATGAGTTTAAGGGGTTCTTCTTTCTGTGTCTCTGTCTCTACTCTTCTTTGTTTCTTTTGCTGCTGCTGCTGCTGCTGCTGCTGCTTCTGCTGCTGCTTCTGCTGCTGCTGCTGCTTCTGCTGCTGCTGCTTCTGCTGCTGCTGCTGTGTCTTCTCTGTCTCTGCTGCATCAGCAGCATCCATAGACTCTCCTAATAAACCCTTTGGCCGCCCGCGGGGCCTCCTGCTTGCTGCCCGCAGCACAGCAGCTTTGTTGCTGTTGTTCTTCTTGCTGCTGCTGCTGCTGCTGCTGCTGCTGCTGCTGCTTCTGTTCTTGCTGCTGTTCGCGTTGCTGCTGCTGCTGTTCCTGTTCTTGCTGCTGCTGCTGCTGCTGCTGCTCCTGTTCTTGCTGCTGCTGCTGCTGCTGCTGCTGCTGCTGCTGGCATTCGCAGCACCGCTCTGAGCTGCACGGCCCCCACTTTTAGGAGTTTTGTCTGTCTGGGTATTTCGTGCTGCAGCAGAGTTTCTGCTGCTGTGGCTGGGGGCTGCTGCTGCTGCTGCTGCTCCCGCAGCAGGAGCAGCAGCAGCAGCAGCAGCAGGGGCTCGTCTATGGCTAGCTGCAGCAGGAGCCTCTCTGTGTGAAGGCATCTCCTCTTTAGTGGTTTTACTTGAACTAATAATACCCCCCATTTTGTATTTTAAAAAAAATAAAAAAAAAAAAAAAGAAAAAGAGGCAGCAGGTTGGGGTGTATA